AAAAAAAAAAAGAAAAAAAAGAAAAGGAAGGAAGGAAGGGGAAAAAAAGAAAGAACTTAAGAAAAGAAAGAGAAAGAAAGAAAGAGAGAGAGAGAGAAAGAAAGACTGGCGTTCTGTATGTTCATTATATGTTATGTCTCATCATGAGGCCATTCTATTAGAAGTTTCCTGTCAGATGTCTAGCAGATACTGCACCATGCTCTTAGATTTTCCAGCATCCACAGACGTGAGCTAATGCAATATCAATTCTTCATAAATTATCTAGTCTCTCACATTTTGTTAGAGTAGCAACAGCAAATAACCCCTCATCAAATACAATATCTTATATGTCTTGTATATGTAACTATTATAATCAACTTTTCAATATATAAAAAGAATAATGTTGAGTCTGATACATAAAACCTTATCAATGTAACAGAAGTCTTACAGTTATATAGTCAAAGGCTTTTGAAAAATGGAGGAAACACTTTTAAAGTAAGTGGTCAATTTATACGTATTCTATTTTTGCAAACAAATGGTATATTTCACTTTGTTTTCACATCGTTATCTGATTCAAAAAGAGAGTGCAGAAAGGAAAACACTTTTTAATACATTTTTTTACTGTAAAAATACTGTACAGAGGGGTTACAGTTACATGAGCAAGGTAATGAGTACATTTCCTATCAAGCATTGTTGCCTCCTCCTTTGTTTTCCCCCTAACATCCCTTCCCTCCCACCTCCACAACCATACTCCCAACCCCCCACCCACCCATCCCCCACTCCGTCCCCACCTAAATTGTAAAGTTCATTTTCAACATAGTGTCTTGTACATCTCATTGTTACAATGGGTCAACCTGTATCCATATTTAAGCATTTTGTTTTTTCCCTCCCCCTCCCCAAATTAGAGAAGTGTATATACAAGATGCAGGGCACCTTTTACATGGTGTGTCCTTGAGAACTCAGCCTTTTTACCTGCTGATATTTGCAAAGGCAAAGTATGAGCAATATCAACAGTGAAAGCCATAGACCTAAATATATCTGTTAGCCTTTGCCTTAACTTGGTTAATTGGGGAAAAAACAATTGGATTCCTGAAGTTATAAAAAAAAAAAAAGTTACTTTAGCTGAACGCTGGTGGCTCATGCCTGTAATCCTAACTACTTAGGAGGCTAAGATCTGAGGATCCTGGTTCAAAGTCAGCCAGGGCAGGAAAGTATGGGACTCTTATCTCCAATAAACTACCAAAAAAGCCAGGAGTGAAGGTGTGGCTCAAGTGATAGAGCATCAGCCTAGAGCAAAAAGAAGCTCAGCACCCTCAGTTCTGACACACACACACACACACACACACACATATTCAATAATTTATTACAAAGTGTAGAACCCAATAGTTGAGTTGTATACAATAAAGATGGGGAAACAAAGGAAAAAAAAGGATCTAAGGAAGGAAAGTAGAAAAATTTCCCTCTGGCCAAACTAAACTAAGTAATTCAACAAGGGAGATCTTATCTTTCCTTTGCTGTTTTCTCTGGTTTGCTTCAGCAAGACACTTTACCTAAATTTATTAGTTTTAGTAGTGTAGAGAGCCAGATTACTTGAAAACTATCAGCTCTTATCACATCCTGGTCTCTTTATAAATTCAATCCTAAAATACAAAAAAAAAAGTCTCTCAGTTTCAGCTGATACTCTTTTTGGCACTCAGCGTTACCATGTGATGCTTGGGTTATTACAGTCCTCTTCCACAGATGTTGATAAAACAAAGATACTGTATCCACTGTGGATAGTGTCAGTCACTTTGATTTTCCTGTCTTGGTTGCAATATTTCTTGGAGGGGCTCCAGGATATTTAAGAACTATGTTGATATCATCTCCACTGCCACCTTTCCAGAATTTTCCTCATTGTATTTATATTACTTTGGATCCATAATTCTTAAAGTTATATTCTGTACTACATTAGACCCTGAGACAGATGGCCAATACATTCTTAAAAATGAATTTAATCACTTCTGAGAGGAAATGCATCTTTTGTTGTTGACTTACTCATCCCAGAATCTCACTCCTCTGTCTCCACCCCCTCTCTTTGCCTCTCTTTTCTTCTCCTCTCTTTTCATTTTCCCTCTCACTTCTTTTTGATGAGCCACTACTTGTTTGCTGGGCTGAAACTCTATTTTTGAGCCATTTCTCGAGTGAGGTGAACTATTTCCTATTATTTTTTTAAATGGACTCTAGCCAACTTTTCTGCCCAAGCTGCCTTGAACCTTGGTTGTCCACGTTCAGCTTTCGAGTAGCCAGGGTTACAGGCAGGAACCACCAGACTCTCTTCTTTGAATACTGATATTAAAAAAAAAATTAAAAGAAGTCTTTAAATCACTTTGTTGGAAATGCAATGATATTTTTAAAGTTAGTTTTGGGGAATTAAGTAACCTTTAATTTGGCTTTCAAAATATATGCAACCAATGCAAATTAGCACCCTAAATTATGACCTGAAACACACACACACACACACACACACACGTGTATGTGTGACATGAAGGATGGCTTTACTATTAAATAGCTCATAAATAGAAAGGCAAATCTGTCTATAAAAAGAACACTGAACAAATGAAATTGAAGTAGTACTTGCCACCTAGAGAGGAGCTTAGTTCTGTATCATTTTAGCCTTTAATTAAAGTACAACTAGAATATTAAAACTTCAAGGCTGGGAATGTGGCTTAGTGGTAGAGTGCTTGCCTAGCATGTATGAAGCCCTGGGTTCAATTGCTCAATACCACATAAACAGAAAAAGTCAGAAGTGGTGCTATGACTCAATTGGTAGAGTGCCTTGAGCAAAAGAAAGTCAGGGATAGTGCCAAAGCCCTGACTTCAAGCCTAGGACTGGAAATGTGTG